CCTTGGGTTCCGTTGCCCTATTCCAAATTTCCCTACTTTCAGCTCACCGTTCTCTCTTGTGCCTAGTTTTGCATTGAAGTCTCCCATTAACACCGTATATTAAGTTTTGGAGGAATGCATGGCTCTAGAGATATCCTCATACATTTCCTCCACCTCTTCATTGGGGTGTGCCGAGTTTGGTGAGTAAACCTGTATGACCTTCAGCGAATACCGTTTGGTGATTCTGAGTATAAGGTACGCAACCCTCGTCGACACACTCCCGATCTTTACAACGTTGTTAACGAGAGACTTGTGGACGATAAATCCGACACCTCCTTGGGACAGATGGTCGCCCTCCCGGTGATAGAGCAAGTTGCCGGATTGGAGGATTACCGTGTCCTCCCCCTCTCTTCGGACTTCGGATAATCCTATAATATGCCAGCGCAACTTGTCTATCTCTTCTTCCAGCTCCACGATCAGTCGTCAGGGTCGAACGTCAGTCCTCAGGGTGCGTGCGTTGTACGTTGCCAGGTCGAGTCGTCTTAGGTGGCAACCGAACCTCCACCGGAGATTCTTAGCACCCCCTGCCCCGCCGTTACCATGGTCGCCACCGTAGCCAGGAATAGCAGGGCCGCCGGGGACTGGGGGCCGTCTGTTTGTTGCTTTAATCATTGGGGGGTATTTGCCATAGTTGCCACGCTTGGCGAGCGGGTTGGCGACCGCAGTTTTTTTATTGTAATTTTGACTATTATCAGGAAGATGCTGCTGCCCATCTCCTGCTTGTTTCCCTTTGTTACCTTTTACGACACCCACGAGAGGATATGGGGTAGTGGATGTTCTTGACCGCCACTACACGGCCAAATAATAAATTTAAATAAATGTTTCTCTGCATATTTTCATGACCTGGAAAGACCAACAGACCACTGCCACCACCGCTCTGACTACCACAATAATTATTTTGCCGCACAAGGATTTTTATATAAATGATTAGATTAGATAGAAACATGCTATCGCGGACTTTCTTCTAGAATTTTTCAAGAGCAACAATTCAGCCAAACATTATTTTCGTGCAACTTAGGATTCTGTAGTTAAAAAAGCAAATAGTAACCTGAGTAGATGGGAGTGAGAATAAACCGAAACAAGATGTTTTTGTTTAAAATAATAAAATACAAAACAAAAATACTTTAAAAAGATGTCCATATTCTAAGTCCATTACATAAACTTAATTATATATAAAACATAATTCATAAAAACAAACATGTATTGGCATTATAAGTGCATGTATTGCCTTAAACAAACAAGGGCCAGCATCGAGGTCCAGCTCAGGGATCAGCTTCATAGATATTGCATTGTCATCGAAAATACATAAATATGCCAAATTTCAGTTCAATCGGATGTCAGCAAATTTTTCAAAAATTAATTACAAATTTTGAACTGATAAAACGCTAAAAACGCTGCTAAAAATCTTCTATAAATTTATTACAAATAATAAGATATAAAACAGCTGCAGATTTTTGGGTGATTTTCTGTATTATAATTTGAGTAGAATAATTTGAGTGTCGGTGAAGAACGCAGGAAAACAACAATGTCTGCAGACAGTTATGCTGAGAGCAAACACTAGTTATTATCAAAGATCTCCTACAGTTTAGGCACTATACGTTTAGGAACAATGCGGCAGACATTATTTTTTATAGAAGAGGAGGCAAACGAGCATGCGGCTCACCTGATGGTAAGTGACTACTGCCGTCCATGAACAACCGCAACACCAGGGGAATTGCAGATGCGTTGCCGGCCTTTTAGAAAGGTGTAAGCTCTTTTCTTGAAGGTTCCCAAGTCATATCGGTCCGGTAAAATTGCTGGTGGTAATCGATTCCACAAGTAAGTTGTGCGAGGGAGAAAACTTCTTCTAAATCGCACAGTGGTGGACCGTTAATCATCCAGGTGGTATGGATGGTATCGTGAGTTTTGTCGCGATGTGCGATGGTTAAATTAAGCGGCTGGAATTAGTCCGAACAATTCCTCAGAGCACTCCCCATGATAGATGCGATAAATAACGCAAAGAGATGCAACATCTCTACGCAGTGCCAGTATATCAAGCCGATCAGAAAAAACTCGGTCGTCGACAATTCGAACCGCTCTGCGCTGGATGCGATCAAGTGGAAGGAGCTGGAAGTGGGGTGCCCCGGCCCAGAGATGAGAACCGTATTCCATGTGAGGCCGAACCTGCGCGATTTGTAAAGTTGCAAGCGATGTGCTGGCATGAAATACTATCTCGTTCTGCTGAGCACGTCAAGCTTTCTAGAGGTAAATTTGACCTTCTCTTCCAAGTGACCACGAAACTGCACACTATTTGATATGTCGATGCCGAGAATTCCGATACTAGCTGAGGCAGCAAGGGGAGTGCCTTGAAACTGAGGAGATACGACAAAGGGGTTCTTTTTAGCGGTAAACGCGCTAACTTGTGTTTTCTGGGGACTGAACTGGACTAGATTTAGCCGCCCCCAATCCGAGACTTTGTTCAGCAAAGACTGTTGGAAAGGTATCCTGATACGCCTCAGAACCCGGGTTCTCACTGGTCGTCTCCCTTGGCGACTCCTTTAAGCCGATTTCAGCCTCTGAGGTTTCTAACACCCCACGGTCATCCCGATCCGCCGACCGACCCGGCTGAGCCTTTCCCACCTCTGGTGTCACCGTCGGCTCGTAGGTTGAATTTGTGCTGCAACCTGACTGAGGATCATTGTAAGGACATGTCATAGATGTCCTTAAAATATTTTAAATTGGTCTATATGTCTATGAATTATTTCGCCATCTTTTCCCTTAATTGTATAGCTATTAGGACCCCTTTCAAGTATTGTCTATACCAAACATCTTCCGAAGGATTCAGTTTCCTATCTCCTCCTTTGGCTAAGTCTTTCTGGTGACGTTGCACCTTATAAATCCTGTTTTCCCTGTCTGGTTTTAAAATATCTAACTTATGTTCGGTTTCTGGAGTTCCTAGTTATATTCCCATTAGCTATTGATTCAATAAAGTTATCTATAGGATAAACGTCCGTTAACTGTCACTGCGTTTCTGAATACGCAACGAATCGTTCAACAACTGTGAAACCATTAACAAGTACTATAATTTGTCGCTAGATGGTTCTGTTTAAGACATCCAGTCTAAAATTGATTTTTTTATTTCAATTCTTCATTTATACTAGTATTATTTATAAATTTTATTTTTTTGAGGCTAAATAAGAGGATATGCACTGTTTTAGTAATAAAATATGAAAATTCCATATTTATCAGAAACTTTATGAATGACATCATTGTATTGTCAAATTATTAAAAAAAGAAAACATCAAACTCATTGCTTTCATTCAAATGTGGTTTTATTTTTCATAACTTTCTGATTTTAAGTTTAGTGGCATTTACTATCGTTTTTTGAATTATCCAAAACGTTATGGAATCTGGAAAACGTAGTAAATTTTTTTCTGAAAGAGAGAAGAGTACTCGTATTCATTGCACTTGTATTAATAATTATTTTATCCCTTGAATATTTTAGTATTTAGCGTCCACTGGCAATTTATTTTAATAATAACACGTTATAACCTAAAAGTTGATGTAGTTTGTTTGAAATTAAATGTCAAATAAAGTTATAGAACCCATAAACGGCACATATTGGCCAGTTAAATTAAACTTAGCTTAAACGGAGTTTATTTTACATTGCAATGTACGGAAACGCACTTTCACAAGTTATCGAACCAATAGCGCTAACGAATAGATAAACTGCCGATAAATGTACCTTAGAAACCGAGCATTAATGCGCAGTCGTCTTCCTAACAATAACATAGCGGGACTCTCGCCGGTGATTGAATGTTCCGTATTCCTATAATATAGCAAAAAAGTTTGTAGTGCCCTGTCTATGTTTTGTTTTTCCTGCACCGCTTTCTTTTTAACCCGCTTCAAGGTTTTTACCGCGTTCTCAGCTAAACCGTTTGAAGCAGGGTGATACGGAGCCGTGAAAATATGATCGATACCGTGACTGCAAATGAAGTTATTGAATTCTATACTTGAGAACGGGGGACCGTTGTCCGTCACGATTTGTTTGGGTAGTCCCCAACGACTGAAAAGTTCCCTTAACTTATCTATTACCCCCGTGGCTGCCGTACTCGCTACTTGATAGATTTCTAGCCATTTTGACATCGCATCGACCCCTACCAAGTACGTTTTTCCCAAAACGGGCCCCATAAAATCTAAATGTATCCTTGACCAAGGACGATTGGGCCATTGCCACATACGAGGCGTCTGTTATGGCGGAGCATCCGCCTGCGTCGCGCATATCTCGCACTCCCGGCATATCCGCTCCACCGCCTAGTCCACACCTGCCCACCAAACATAGCTTCGAACTATAGCCTTGGATTTGACAATGCCCATATGAGGTTCGTGAATCATACATAAAAAAAATTCCTTACAGGCCTCCGGAACAACTAGTTTATCACACCACCACACATCTACCACATCACACAACCTATTTCCTCATATAATTCATTCTTACGATTAAAAAACGGTTGTAAACCCTTAATATTACGTTCCCCTGGCCAACCATCCCGAATATAGCTAATAACCTTCGAGAGAATTGGATCCCGAGCGGTTTCATTTTTAACTTTATTATAATCTAACAACAATGATTGCTGAACGAAATGCAAATACGTTAGCTCGGGCGCCGCATGAGTCATCTTACTAGACGACAGCGGCAGACGCGACAGGCCGTCCGCTCCATTCACATCGGTTCGGTACGTATGTACTCAATATTAAACGAATAAGCGGTCAAAATAATTGTCCCACAGTTGCATCCGACTCGCTACCATAGTTGGTATACCTGTGTTAGGTCCAAAAATGGACACTAGCGGCTTGTGATCGGTGCGCAGAGTAAAATGCCGACCGTACAAATACTGATGGAATTTATTTACGGCAAATATAATCGCTAATGCCTCGCGGTGTATCTGCGATTAGTTTTTCTCGGCGTCGTTAAGCGTGCGTTACGCATAGGCCACGGGGCGCTCGCGACTGCCGTCGTCGCTCGGCTGCGACAACACGACCCCTATCCCTCTGGCGCTCGCGTCGCACGTTACTATAACCGGTCGCTGGGGGTCGTAATGAGCTAATACTTCCGCGCTGATTAATACATTTTTGACTTCAACAAACGCGCGCTCACATTCCTTCGAACAAAATCAATTTTGCGTAGAAATTTACTAAACCCAAAAAAGACCGTAGCTCGGTCACGTTACAAGGCCTAGGTAGCTTAGGAATTGCTTGTATCTTCTTCGGGTCTGTTTTTACTCCGTCTTTACTAAGTACATACCCTAAAAACTGCACTTCGTTTACAAAAAATATACATTTGTGATTTTTTAATTTCAATCCGTTCTTATGTAACCTGCTAAAGACAGCTTTTACGGCTTGAAGGTAGTCGAACTTATTTTTCCTGCCGATTAAGATGTCGTCTAAAATACATAGGACATGGGGTCCTTTAACAAATTATACACAATACGTTGAAATATTCCAGCACTCGATGCAAGCCCGTACACTAACCTATTATATTGAAATAAGCCGCGGTGCGTATTAACTACGGTTAACTTTTTAGTATCGTCTAGCTCTATCTCAATATAGGCTTGAGACAGATCAATTTTTGAAAAATATTTCGACCCACTCAACATAACAATTAAATCCTCAACTCTAGGTAGGGGATATCGATCAACTAACAAAACAGGGTTTATCGCCGCCTTATAGTCAGCACAAATTCTCAACGAACCGTCAACTTTGTTTACCGATACCAGCGGCGAGGCACAGTCGGAGCAGTCGACGGGCTCGATGACGCCGTCGCGCAGCATCGCGTCCAGCACGGCGTCGACGCGCTCGCGCAGCGCGTACGGTATCGGTTTCGCGCCACAGAGTAAAGACGGTTTCTTTACTCATGTGCTCGCGCGGTGAAACACCGGCGCTGCCCCCTCGCGGATTTTTAACGTCGCCTTGCCGCCCGAGTACCGTCCCAGCCCTCCATTAAACAATTTTTTATATCTGGAAAACAAAATTTTCAATTGATCATCTAATTTACCTCGGTTACTCTTCAAGTTATGGCCGTTGGTGAATAATGGTAATTTTATTTTTAATTCAGATATCCACTGCCTGCCCAACAAGGACGTGGTTTCTCCTTTGAAAACAAACAATTCTAATCTTTTTTTTTCTCCACCGTAACAAACTTCCGGTGTGATTAATCCTAAAGGTCTAAGTGACGAACCGTCATAGAACTTCAAACTGACACTTGTGCGATCTAACTTAATGGTACTAAAATATAGCTTATAAGTTTGTTCGCCAATGCATGACACTGCCGTTCCCGTATCAACCTCCATATTGATGACTTTATTATTTACAGTCACTGGCAAACTCACCGCTTTATAGTCACCTAAACATAGGTGATGAAACTCCTCTAATTGACCCCCGTCTTCGACATGCCGTGCTAAGTCTGCCTGATGACAAGCGGTATGCCTGGTTGTACGAACACCTACCGTGCCCTGACCCGGACACGCGCGTCGTAGGTGACCCGTGCGTTTGCACCTGCTGCACACGTATTCCCGGATCCGACAATCCTCATAACCGTGGCATGTCCCTTCGCATCCACTGCAATTTTGACTGCTAATTGCATCGGGCCTCCTTACAGCTGTAGCCGATCCCGGCCGATTGTGTTGTGGCTGGCGGTCTCCACGCATTCCGCGCCCGCCTGCCCCCAACGTTCTTCGCGACCCATTTTTCCCGATCGCCAGCGAGTGCATCCCCGCCATATCTCTTCCTGATGTTGCTGACTCGGTTGCATCTACCGCCGCAGCGTCCCGCTCCGCGGCCTCTAACGAGTTGGCAATTTTTATCGCATTGGTGAAACTTAATGTGTCATCCTCCACAAACAGCCTCTGCCGAATAACATCGATCCTTAATCCGCAGACAAATTGATCCCGTAGACTTTCACTAAGACCGTTGCCCAGTTTGCAGTGACGTGTTAATTTTTTTAACTCTGCTACGTACTCTGCTATATTCTCATCCGCTGCTTGCCTCCTTTGTCTAAAACGATACCTTTCCGCTAACGCGGATGGTGCCGATTGTAAGTGGTTGCACAATGACTAATGGCGGCGTCGTATTTTAATTCCGACGGATTCACGGGGCTAGCCAGGTTCACCAGCAACTCGTAGGCCTCATCGCCCATGACCGCTATTAGCGTGGGCAACTTGTACGTAAAATACATCTCAAAAGTCTATTGACATATGACGACCACACCCCGGTTTTTACATCGAACTCGTTTACTTTTCCAATCGACATTGCCCTCGAATTAACTTGTAAACTTTTACTCATAACGATTAAAAACAAAATAAAACTACGTTTTTATCCTCGTCGCCAATGTAATGTATATAAAAGCCGGAGAGAACACAAAGAACGTAACGCAATCTATAACAGTTTATTCCACAATGAATTTTGAAAATTTACCCGCAACCTACATAATCAGTCTTAACGTACTACCTTACATTACAGTTTTCTAGAATTGTTAGGGTCTGTTTCTAGAATAATTAGGGTCTGAAAAGTGTCATTTTATTTTATTTTATAAGCACGTTTTTATTAACTTACTTTCGCGTACGAGTATGTCCGTTTGGATCGAAAATAGTAATTGATTTTCAACTACCTTCCCGATGAGCTAGAGACTTGAAATTTTGAATACAGCTCATAACCAGATGAGAGTGTAAGTATGAAGAAAACGTGGTATATAAAAAAAACATAATTTCTAAAATTTCTCTTGTTAAATACTTACTGAGCTTCATTCTTTATTGGCTCCTTGTTCTACATTTGCTACTTGTTCACGTACTGAAGTATCCACCTGCGCTTATTGCCAATTGCACTAAAACATCATATGAGGTGATACCTAAGTCACCCTCCCCGCGAATATATACGCAGTGACTAAATTTTCTTCTTTATTATTTTATCCTTGATGCCACCAGCGGACTACATAATCAACAGGATTGTAACAATAATGTGGTTGATAATAACTCCTGGGAATGAGGTGATCATTTCTAAGGTGTTTCTTAAATAAGTTTTGTATATAGTTTGTACAAAGTTTGTTTTTATTGTATTACTTAAAAAAAATACTATAAAAAATAAGTTCCGCTGGGTTTCTTACTAGTCCTTCCCAGGTAGGTTTACCATATCTCAGGATTTGTCCTGAGATTTCAGGATTTTCAGACTCTTCTCAGGATTGCGGCTGGATTTTGCAAATCTCATGAAATCTCAGGATTTTTAGAACTTTCAATATAATACAGCTTTCATTTTAAAGATCTCTTTAATAAAAAGTTAAATAATACTAAAAATAATTTTTCTTTGGTAATAATTGCACAATTAAAATCAAAACTTATTTATCCAAGTAGGTACTTAAACAATTTTATCATACTTAATATGTGAAGATACCTTTTTAAGTAAGGTTTTCTTCTCAAACTGTACAAAAATCTCAGGATTTTTATTTGGTAATCAGGCCTCTTCTCCGGACTTTTAATTTTTTCATCTGCTAACCCTATTCCCAGGACAGAGAGATTGTTTCGATTTAGTAGTAAAATTCAAAATTTGCTTTAAATAAAGATAATTTGTTATCTGTAATGATCTTAGTCGAGGATTAATATAGATGTCTGTAGGTCACAGCATCCACTTACCATCAGGTGGACTGTGTGAGCCTTATTCTATTTTAAAAATGTACACACTAATCTCTCATAGTCTACATACGCACAAAATATAACCACAAACATCGTTTGTACTAAACGTCGCCATCTTTTCACATTGAACTTTCGATGGAATGTATACATAAACATAAAAATTTTATTTTAGCGGTAAATTACGATGTAAATTAATAACTTATGTGTATGTACTTCCAGTAGCAATATAAATTCGATTTTGATGAAATTTTCAATAACATTTATTACAGCAAACTGCAAATTGTTCAGCTGCAATCAGAACTCAATCAATTATTCCATATCAAGCAATGAAAACACCATTTGCGATGTCGTGAGCAGACAAATTTACCTTTTTCCGTTCATGCAAATTTTTATGAGCAGGTATTTTTATTATTTACAATAAATTGCGTTCCGTACGGTTCACGGACTCAATCTCTTTATTAAAAAAAATATTTATTGGAAATTTAAATAAGAAATAGAAGAAATTGGAATTCGTATATAAGTATATTGGAAAGAAAATTGAGTCTTTAGGCAACCTTGTCTGCGCGGTATGGATGTTGGAACTAGACTTACTCTACGGTTGTCGATTCGTAGCGAAAGTTGGGCGTGGCCAAAGAAGCTTATGAGTAAAATAAATACTGTGGAAACGCCTTTAGCTTGTTGCGCTTAAATACACATTCTATTAGTCGCATGGGGTCCCTGTGTACTTCAGGGTTTACTTGTGAAAAAGAAACAAGTTAAATAAATTTGTTCGTGGGTTGGCTCGACTGGGGTAGGACAACGTTTTTACAGAATATCAGCGTAAAATAGTAACTTAATGCTGCTGTGCTTTAAATGGTGAGAGGAAAGAACCGGAGACCCTTTTTACTGGAAACGAGGCATTCCATCTTAGTCCTCAAGGGTGATAATGCATCTGCAATTTCATACTTCTTTGATAATAAATGTAGATGTCTATGCGCCACAGCATCCACTTATGATCAGGTAGATTGTGTGCTCGTTTATCACCCTTATTGTGTATAAAACAAAAGACTCCCAGATTAGGAGTTTTTCCTGTATCGTAGAGGAAAGCTTACATACATAAATTTCACAAGAACAAACATCAATAACCGGAACAATTATTATAAATTTAAATACTGACTTTATCGTCGGCTGTTATCCTTCTGTACTACAGCGTTAACTTGTGAAAAGGAAACAAGTTAAATAAATGTAAATTTATTTTTTATAGGAATTTCAAGCACAACATCACAGATGTTGGAATCGAACTTACTCTACGGTGGTTGATTCTATAGCTCGTTGAGTTGGTGAGGGTGCATTCGGCATTAATTATATAAAATTTATTTCCATTGCGAGATCCTTACCGTGTAGGGGCGGTGTAAGAATATCTACTAACCCACATCGTCCCGTGGGTGTCGTAAGAGGCGACAGAGTTAAACCACGAGATGTGCAGCAGCGTCTTCTTATGACTCTGCTGACAACTATAAAATTGTGGTTGCCCACCCGCTCGCTAAGCGTGGCAACTATGGCAAATATCCCTCGTATGAAGCAATGATGAGTGTGGCCTAAATTCAGCAGTGGACTTTCATAGGCTATAACGGTAGGAGTTCCTTGGTGCTAATTCAATAAAAGTTCTTTTTTTTTATAGGAGAGGGGGCAAACGAGCATGCGGCTCACCTGATGGTAAGTGACTACCGCCGCCAATGAACAACCGCAACACCAGGGGAATTGCAGATGCGTTGCCGGCCTTTTAAAAAGGAGTCGTATCGGTCCGGAAAAATCGCTGGTGGTAAACTATTCCACAAGGAAGTTGTGCGAGGAAGAAGACATCTTCTAAATCGCACAGTGGTGGACCGCCAATCATCCAGATGGTGTGGATGGTATCGGGAGTTCTGCCGCGATGTGCGTTCGTGAAATTTGGCGGCTGGGATTAATCCGAACAATTCCTCAGAGCACTCCCCATGGTAAATGCGAAAGAAAATGCTAAGAGATGCAACATCTCTTCGCAGTGCCAATGAGTCGAGCCGATCGGAAAGGACTCGGTCGTCGACGATTCGAGCCGCTCTGCGCTGGATGCGGTCAAGTGGAAGGGGCTAGCACTGGGGAGCCCCAGCCCAGAGATGGGAACAGTATTCCATGTGAGGCCGAACCTGCGCCTTGTATAGTTGCAG